TCCCCGGTTAGTTTTTGTGCCGGTCAGCAGTAAGAATGCTGCCTGGAAAAGCTCAGTCTTAGGGGAACATGTGAGAATATTTAGTGGCCATACTTTTGTAACAGTGTTATGTATATTGTGTGCTTTTATGCGTAATTTGTGCTTGACATTTTTTTTGCTAGCTATGTTTGAAATTATGCAAAAACGTGAACTATATTATGCTGAATTTTCTAAGTCGTCGCAAATGTCGCTTGTCTGTAAGCTGCCTCTAGTGCCAACCGTAGAATTTTATGTTTTGCAGTCTTTTAAGTCACGTGGTATACAAAAGCAACGAAGCCTCTACTTGAGACTTGCGTATACATGACATTGTAAGAGCGGGCATTAGGAGTACTACTATGAAACTCGGAGTACTCGTACATATTTACCAGAACAAGCGAACCAAAATCAAATCGTGTTTTGCCAACATGGCGTACGCTGTAACAACAGTTCAGTTTTTCAAACCCCGCAAAACTGAGGTCACTGAGTGACACGAATCCTATACTTATTAAAAGTCACTTTACTTTCAAACATTAGTAGTATGGTAACAAAATTCAAAATGGTGTTGGACGGAGTAACAAAATTGTGGAGATTAGTTTCTTCACTAATGTACAGGATAATATATTCAACTGTCAATTTACTTTGGCGGTTTTAATCATTAAGATGGTCCTCTGGTTTACTGTAGGCCCGTCCGCATAAGTCAGACCTCAAATTGCAGTGTACACTGTGCAGATGGATGCACCCGCATTGCTCGCTGTTCAACGTAGCGTATACAATGCCCAACTGTGCCAATGCAACCGCCGAACTAGGCAGTCTAACTTGTGCGGACGGCCACAGTAGTTTTATTGAATGTTGTCCACTTTTGTTTGAAGTAAAAGTGAGAAACTACGGCAGGAAAAGGCATTCGATAGCGCACGCACTAGCTGTTAAGAGCGCCAGGGTTTCGGGCATGAATAGCATCTTATTTGCTAGCAGGTTATTCCATGATATCACAAATACCGTCAATCCTGTTTTGCTGCTTATGCTGCTTACGCCAAGTACGGCGGAGCATCACGCGCAGCCTCGTATGCCTTACAGAGCTCTACCTCGTGCCTCCTAATCATGGCCACCGGTCAAATTTCGTACGATTGCAGATATGAAAGATAGAGATAAAAATTTTACCATCAGACGCTAAGACCTGGCTTAGCAAAACAGCTTTTGAGAAACTTTAGGCCTTGTAAAAATGTTTTTCACTACTTACAAACCCATTGGTTTCACAAGGTGATGAACACGACCACGATGGGATTGTTATTCAGCAAAGGTCACTAGCAGTTATGTATGTGGTCTAAGACTTGAGTTTTTTATGAAAACCTGCTAATAATCTGTACTATTGATAAATCTGTGATAAGTATAGTTTGTAAATTAAATTTCATGAGGTGAGTTTTTCAAAAATAGATTCACCATCAGGTTTTCAGTTAAATAGGGTTGTTTTTTTTGGTAACCTCGAATCGAAATCTATAGTTACATTAATTTTACAAAAAGGTTGCATCATTATACAGTAAAGGTATTGATCAACAATAATTACTGATTGTTAGCCCATCTGTTCTCTCCTGAGGTGGTGTTTATCTTGATTATCGACTTTTCCTTCTTAAACATTTGGTGCACTTCTTCTTGATTTGCTTGGCAGCTAAAGTAGTGATAAATCGTGATTGGTAAAATTCACCGTGACTTCGGAGTTCGGATACAAGTACGGAATATGTAGCCATAATACTTTCAAAGTACGAATTATACAGATACGTAAATTAAAAATGGAATACACCCAAAGGTAACAACTGACTAAAGGTCGACCTTGCACAGAAAACTGAGCCTCGACCTGCTTTTCGTGCAGCAAACTCAAAAGCCGCCACATACATATACATACATATAGACTGTATATACATAGTCCCAAATATCCTAAACTAGTTCCACGTCGCAAAGGTATAGGAGACGTTGTGTGCCGTAAGTATTGCTTTCGTCGGGTATTCGAATGCAGGGATATGTTTGCTTCTGAATCTCGAACGGCTGCAGCATCTACATAGTACGACTTCATTCGCTGTCAGTTCCTTCATCGTGTAGGGTTTTTCCCTACAGACGTGTATGTGCACCCGATCGATAGCACGCCGGGGATGCATGATCCCGGCGTGCACATTGTACGATCATCGATTTCCCCACTGACGTCCATAGACGTCAGCGGGATCTTTCCCCAGCCGTATGTGTATTTGCCGGCTCGCCGCTATATAAGGGCGGCCGGCTGTGTTCAGAGAGCAGTAGTACGTGTATAAAGTTTCCCCCCACTGGTTGTGTGAGAGTCCATGTATATAGGCGGGCGGGCGCTGCCCTACATACTGGTAGCAGCCCGTGGTTTTTGTGTAAAGGTCCCGTGACCTTTCGTAGGCAACTGTGCCCACCGCCCACCCTATCTGATCTGCTACTAAAATTTTTCTACTGTTATAAATTCTCTTCTACTGATCTCGAAGTGACCTTTAAAATGTATCTCCAACCTGGATCCGTCGCAGGTTACCTAGATGACCTTTTATGTATTACCAGCTACAGTCTAATGACCTTTATACACCTGGCCCCTTCCGGACGGATGGCCCGGGGTAAGTGTATTCATCCTTATTATATATTAAAATATCAAAAGTTCAAAAATAATTGCATAACATTTTGCAAAAATAATATTAGGAACAGAGTGACCTTTCTGAATCTTTAAACATGTTTTAGTATAAGATATAGTTATAGGTACCACATATGCTATTACTGCGTTAGTCGATAAAATTGAAAAAATCCGATAAAAATTATAACCGAAATAACGGCTGTTGGTGTCAAATAGATAAATTTACATTTGTTTTACAATCTTATATATTAAATGTTAAATCGTGTGATTGTCCAAAAAATCCAAACTCACACCTTGGTTATGCACATGTTGATTATCAACACACAATACAAAATGGTAATCGAGTTGAAACAAACACTTTGGTTTTACAAACGTTAAAACAAAAATGTTAAAATACAAAATTAGAACAGGAAGCACAAACACGAAACAAACACCTTGGTTTCTACATATTTATCTGTACAGTACATATACAAAAATCATATTGTAAAAGGTCAAAATCGATTCGTAGTATAGTAAAAGAATTTTTATCAGAGGAAGCATCATAAAACCGACCTACTCGCCATTCTTCTTCAATTTGATGAGAATACTCTTCCGGATTCATGTGTTCCGGTTTATCTTTGAAACCCTCGAGCCTTTCTGAAGAAAAAAGTCTTGCCCGGTTAGTCGATGAAAGGGCGCATCAGGTAGCGGTCCATCCTTTGTGCTCTGAACTCTCATCATCTTTATAGAAATTTAACAATGTGGTAGCGTCATGTACCACAAGTGTGAGCTTTCACAAAAGCTAACATAAATTTTCACCAAATAACGGAAAGCGGTTGGCTTCATACCGTTTAAGAGCATATCAGCAATAAAAATTATTCGAATCGTTATGAACTTGCAATCACAATCAAGAAGCCCGATGTTGAACGAGCGTGCGTACGCGTAAAATGCATTGAGCAACCTGTGGATGAAAAGGTTGATTGCTCGTCTTTTTACTTGAGCGTTTACGTACTTAATCAAACTTCAAATGTAAGTACGTTACTTTATTCGAAACGAGTGTTACCATGTTACTGGCTTGTAAGTTGCACAATGCGCGCTCCAGAGTTATGCTTATCCAACGTCAATAACAACAACAATGAGCTTAGAATACTGTAAGTACTAATCAGCTACTTATTACTCTCTCTCTCTCTCTTGATTGAGTTGCATGCACTGTGGAAACCCATGGTTTTTCCCTCATCGATGGTTTTGCAGTACAAAGGAGGCATTGGTCGAATGTTAAAACAAAGTCTCTCCACGTGCACTATCTGTACGTTCCATGAGCAAATACAGCAAGAAACGAGATACGAATGCAATTTAATAATTATGTGTTTAATAATTATTTTTGAGCAAGCGACTCACAGCCGGCAGTTTTAAAGCTTAAGCGCTGTATTCGGGCGTTAACATAAGGGTTGCCAATTCCAAGTTCGCAATGTGGTTCAGTACTTTGCCGTCGGCTACAGTCGGCCCCGACTTCGTACAGCAACTGTAGTGTAGCATTATTTTAAAACATTGTCCTCTTATTTGTAAAGAACACTTCCGGTTAATATGCCGGCACAAAAAAACAATACTAAGACAGTAAACGCCCCTAAACGCAAACTTGTAAACCACGTTACAAGTTGCTGCCACAATGTATAAGGGAAAAAGATAACGGCAGTAGCAGAACCAGGAAGAATGTTACGAAATGCATTGAAAACAGGATCTCCAGAAGCAATATGCAAGCGTGCCAGCGATCTTCTGACTCGATGCAGATCTTCCTACAACGAGCCAGAACTGAACTAAGATAAATTATCATATAAATATTACTGCACGCAGTAGGTCGAACCCGCAACCGAACGTTCTCTTCTCGCAGCAGGACAATATCTTCCAGAGCGCGTCTGTAATTTTGGTGAAAGGTATCAGGAGCATGATCTCGGCCCGATGGCTGTAACAAAATAATACAAACCTATCGCCGTTTTTTCTGCACCTTGATATAAACGATAAAAGCCTTTTATGTGACATTTCGGAAAACTAAGATAAACCGTAGTGAAAGTATAATAATTATTATACAGCGTATGCGTGTCACAGATGCAAGAGAAAGTAGTTTCTGGCGCAGCAGAATCCGGTAATAATATTACCTGCGACTGGGGATGGGGAATTGGTGTTAGAAATGGGATTCACTTCATTTATGGGAATGGATTTCTTTTTTGAATGGGAACACGAAAGCAACTTCAAAAGATTTCACTCCCAGATCCGCAGATTTTTTACTATGCGGTTTTAATACTAGTAAGTAGAAACCTTAACTGGTTAATTTCGGGTTAACAAACCACCGCAGATTCTCTCCTTTGTTTGCGGCAGCTGCGTCACATGTATGTTTTGTGCGACATACAAGAAAAGTTTTTCTGCGGTTACTTACTGGAACTCTGGGCGTAGCAGCAATTTCCCAAACATTTGACAAAAATACTCATGAAAAAGAAGGTATTTGAAAAGCCTGCACTGGAAAGAAACCAGCATTTGAAAAGCTGTGAATGGTCAGCTACGCTGGCCGCCGCCGCCGCTACAGCGTCCAAATACTCGCATAAATAATTTTAAAACAAGGAAGCGTGACGTAAATCAAGTATTAAACGAAACGAACCCAGTTTAGATTAGCCAGTGGAAGTACCGAGCGGAACGCTCCGAGTGAAAGATAGTGCAAATATTCCCAGTACCAATTCCGGATTCCCAGTCCCAGGTTGCATTATTATCCAGCAGAATCAGCTGCATTTTCATGCAGCTCCCAACCCTATTTTGTGTGGGCATTATGAATGAGATTGTTGTCCCTTAACATCTACAAGTACAGATACAGCTAAACACTAATGTGCACTATTATAGGTGCTTGCTCCTACGCAAATCTCTAACTTGGCCGTTGAACTTTCTTCCAGTGGCAGGATGGCAACGGTGGCCAGCGGCATTTTCTTGGCAGAAAATGCATGGTGAACCGATTGGGGAAAAGTGCATCTGATTGTGGTTATCAGGATTTGATCAGGCGGGATATTATTCCACTACAATCCACAGGTGAAAGAAACCGAGCTAACAGTTCTGAGCATTTAAGTTATGCGTGCAAGGTGACAACCGGCGGGCGACGTAACCAGTTGCATTAGAACGAAGAAATGAAGGAAAAACTTGTATTTTGCGAATAACTTCAAGTGAGTCACTAAGCTGATGATAAAATATAGTAGAGTATAGTCCATAGTATAGTCCTGTAGTGGCTGTGAACTGCGTTAGTTTGACTACTCACAAAATTACTTGGATCATTCGCGCTATACTGATCGTTATCCACAGGAGCTGCCTTAATTCGGAATTTGTAATCTGGGCATATGGCGGAATGATCAGCCGGGCGATACTGTATGAGAATCGATGCGATACCATGACTTTTCAGTAATCCGAATACCGGACGCACGGAAAACCGGTGCGGCGCAGACGTCATTATTCGATAGGCTGTCCGTTTTGCTCCGGTATTCTTTACTGTCAGCGTCACTATTGCTTGGGTATGGGCGGGTTCTGTTAACAGAAGTAAAGAAGAATAAATAATGATCGGGTTGGCAACGAAAGAATAAGGCAATACCTGTGGCTATACAGCAGCCCGGAATCATGTCTTTAAGTCTTTGTTATTATTAAGTACATTCGGAGTCCCAACGTCTCTTTATATTGCGATATTAGTCAGTAAGTAAATTAAGTATAAAAAAGAAAAAATAACTTACAAAACAGTTGACGATAATTATAGTATCAAACCTGGAAACACCAGCTCTTTTGGAACTACTTCCAACATAATGCAAAGTTGTCATCACAGTGAGCCTCCATGAACCATGTTCCTTGGCTTCGTTTGGCTAGAAGAATCTGCAAATGTACACCTTGCGATGTGCAGTCTTTCACATCAGAAGGCAGAAATCATGACAGAAATGTCGAACATATTTTGAGCCATTCGAGCCCTACATACAGTGCTTCGAGGCGTCAAGTTATGGAACAAGGGTAAATTTGACGTATTAGCAGTTTGTTGCTCGGGACAGCTAAATGTCGTTGCACTAGATGGTTGGTCTCTGAAACACTGCCCATGGTGAGCTTCTCCTGTATTACGCATTTTTGAAGAATTATTATTTAACGGTTATTTTTCCTGTAGTTTTGACAAAGAACCTGAAGGCTTAGTCCCAAATGAACCCCGTTGATTATTCATTGTTAGGCGGAGGCGCAAAAGTTCTTGTGAGCGAGATTCAGCCGGCAAGCGGCTACAACAGCACTATGGCCAGGGTGATCTTGTAGCCGCTTGCCGATTTCTTTCCATAAAAGCCAACTTGACTTTCGAACGTGACAAACCGTATAAATCTTGGACATCTACCATTTTCCTCGTCTAAAAGTGTACCAAGGCCAGAGTAGTAACCGGGAAGCGGGGAAAGCCAACCAGGTACTGGCATCCCTAGAATAGGCGGCCGACAAGCGAGACAATAACGCTGGCGTTCTCACTTTACACCTCCAGTTTCCTGATAGTCAGCATGCCCTACCACATGCGCTGATTGCTTTCAGTCAAGTGCAGGCAATTCAAGCGAATTTATGTCCTTTATTGTCATGTAAATATAAGGGGTCGTCAGTGGCTTGTACAAGCAGTCTCTGTACAGTGTGCTCAAAACGAGTGCACAAGAGTCTAGCTCTATGGGTCTTGTAATCGCCGCTTACAACGGCCTGAAGACGTACGTACTTCGATACTCTACAGGTGTGCAGAATCTGCAGACATTAAAACATAAAGATTCCTTCTGGATTTTCCGCACAACTTCGCATCAAATGCCTAGGGTAATGCAGGTAATTCAAGCCAATTTTCGTCCTTTACTGTCATGTAATTACAACACATATCTTAACGCACAATTCAACCAGCCGTGAACTTTATAGCACAAAACTGAAACATAATTGCTTGCAGCTGTAGTGTGTATCCATGCGATTCTAGAATAATTGCTGAGACATCTGATCACGTTACATGTATTTTGCATCCTTGTCTTTGGCTTGCCGGAGTCCTTCTTCAATACCGGTCATAATCAGGGTGAGCACGGCATCCCAAGCTTCGATATCGAATTCCGGTCCGCAAACTTTGACGAACAGTTCGTTTAGGTCATGTTGGAGTGCTTGGAAGTTTTCCGGGGCCAAACCGCGGGATCGATGATTCGCGCCTTGGCGCAAGAGCTCTCCTATTAGTTTTGGAGGGCTATCCAGCATACTCAAGAGCTCACCGAGTTTTCTTAAGACTATCGTTCCAAATGCTTTTAGACGCGGTGTCTGGCTGAGTCGTGCCATATCCGATGGTTTGAGAAAAGGAAATAACGGCAGCCATTCAGGGTGTTTAGTAATAAACCTGTTACAAAGATTTTATGTAAGCATGGTCAAGAAAAGATTAAAATCAAAATTGAACTTAAACTTACGCAACAAACAGCTCCAGCCCATATTCTGGAAGTCGCTTTTCTATCAATTTCCAGTTTTGTCTAACAGCATTAATGTGATTAGGTGTAAGGCCTGTTTGGGGATCAGGAATATCTCGGGCCACACAGTTGCCCATCAGGTCGAGGAAAGGGCGACGAGGACAGGTTCAGGGAGGGAACAGAAATACGTGGCACATTGGACAGTGGCATTTGTAGATGCAGTCCCAGCCTTTTATTTAGCTCGAGTTTTTGAGACCAAGTAGAAGAATTAATCAAGCCAATCCTGACATATTACCGGCTACGGTTTTGAAATAATTGAACAGCCGATCTTGGGTGTCCATTGTCCTGAACTTATCATATGTTAGTGTCAACTTTTCAAAAAGCACCAGCATTATCAATAATGCTATTCATAATGAATATCAAATTAGTAAAACATTAATTTAGCAACAATCTGATAAACATTTAATAATTAATTTTAGTAAGTACTTGTTTTGGTGAACACAGACAAGGATGCACTTTTGAAACGGGAAGCAGAAATTTTGGGTTTAATCAGTTGTTAGCTGTCATTCATTGTTTATTTCCATGGAGACGGTCGAAATACTGCGGAAAACCGGGTAAATACTGCAGTTTAAGGGAAGTGGCCCGGTACATGATACCAAAATCATGTACATGCACGAAATCTTTCACTTTCGCGCACTTCCAAACCCTTTTTTCTTTTGTTTTATGACATTCTGTATCAGATGATTTGTATACACAGGCGAGACAACCATTTGTGCGCGCAACATCCGGTTCGGGAGTTATGGCACTTAGAAAATTCCAGAAAGTTTAAATGCATTCAGGTGTACCAAAAGTCTCGTTATGAGCCGATCTCCTTCAAATTTTGCACGTAAATGCACATGGCCATGAAGATTGTTTTTACATCGATCCAGAGTTCCATGATTTTTTTCAAATCTTAAAATGAATTTTAAAATTTTTGAAAATTCATTTAAAAATTTGAAAAACATGCTAGAACAGTGGATCGGTGAAAAAACGATCTTCATGGCCATGTGCATTTACGTGCAAAATTTGAAAGAGATTGGTTCGTAACTTTTGGTACACCTGAATGCATTTAAACGTTTTGGAATTTTCTAAGAGTCATAACTCCCGAACCGGATGTTGCGCGCACAAACGGTTTTCACGCCTGTGTGTACAAATCATCTGCCTACAGAATGTCATAAAACAAGAGAAAAAAGGGTTTGGGAGTACGCGAAAGTGAAATATTTCCTGCATGTACACGATTTCGGTACCATGTAGCCACTTTAAGATTTATTGTACATGTACCAAATTTATACATTCACGGCAACAGCTGTGGCACTTTAAATACTTTTTGCATTGCTTTATGATATTTTGTAACTAAAGGATTCATACATAGGCGAAAAAACCGTTTGTGCGAAACATCCGGTTCGGGAGTTATTAGTGAAATAAAATTCCAAAGAAGTTTAAACGCGGAGGTGCAAAAGTCTCATTATGAACCGCTTTTAGAATTTTGCGAAAACACACATTACTATGAACATCGTTTTGGTACCGAACCAGCTTTCTACCATTGTTTTCAAATTTTAAACAAAATTTAAAAATTTTTGAAATTATTTTAAAATTTGAAAAAAATGATAGAAAGCTGGTTCGGTACCAAAACGATCTTCATAGTAACGTGTGTTTTCGTGCAAAATTTGAAGAGCATCGGTTCATAATGAGACTTTTGGTACACCTCCGCGCGTTTAAACCTTGGTACCTTTTGGAATTTTATTTCACTAATAACTCCCGAGCCGGATGTTGCGCGCACAAACGGTTTTTTCGCCTATGTCTACCAATCCTTTGGCTACAAAATATCATAAAGCAATGCAAAAAAGTATTTGGGAGTGCGCGAAAGCGAAAGTTGCCGTGGTTGTGCTCGAATTTGGTACTATGTACCGGGCCAAATCCCTTAAGCAACTGTTTGATGCGGTCAAGCTGTAGTAGCACACAGTGCCAAAACCAAAAGAAAGAGCGTCATGTCACCCTTTCCTATGGAATAATCATGTGGAATCCTAAACGCCGATTTCATTTTAGTGGTACGGATAGCGCACCTGCATTGCACCATTATCAAGTGGTACTGGAAATGCGTATTCAGTTTCCAGTGGGCCATTGCTAGCGCTCGGTGCAGTGATGTGGTTACCAACCACCACTAGTGTTGTGTGGTACTTGTGGTACGAGGGCTTTTCATAAGTTTTAGCGTTTGATACGAACCAAAATTAATAAAATCATGATCTCGCGTGAATAATGAGTTAACATTTTACCGACCGCGGATTTTCTTTACATATTTCAAGAAATTGCTAGAAAAGAACACTGGAGTTTTATTTCTTGGCGAATTATTTATTCTTTTCCTTGATTCACTGCCATCGCGTTCTAACGTTTGTGGACTGGTTAAGCTATTTCAAGCTGGGCAATCTTCTGTGACGTAGGCCAGGGAATTGAGGAACCATACTTTAATGTTTACATCTAGACAACGTCTCTTCTAAAACAGCCACGAACAATAATAATCTCGTTGAACCATGACAGCAATAGTAGAGGGACTAAACATTTAGGAAGCAATGGTTTCGAGGAATCGCTGCAGCTCCTCGCAGATAAGCTTGGAGAAGATTGACTTTGACACGGTATAGCCTCCGTACGGGACAACCCCAAGATAGCACGCACCTACACTTTTCGTCCTTTCGCTCATTTGCTTTGCAACATCACGCAAGAATATCTTGACGCAGCCATTTTATCAACATAGCCTAGCCTTCTATTAGTTCAAAATAATTTTCACTTTAAATGCAATATTAGATGTCTAAGAGCAAAAAGCATAAAAAGAAGAGAAGCAGAATTTTTATGGGTCGACCTCCTCTTTACCGCTGAGAGAGACTCCGTCAGGATAGTCAGGCTATGGACGCCTTTGTACTATCGGGAGTGTACGCGTGAGCCAGCACTATATCGTCAGGCAGTACTATCGTATAGAGCCATTCCCACTGTTATACGGCATTGCGAGCCATAGCACGGCAGCGTATGTGCTTGTACGAGTTTACTCGTGCAGTACACTACGTACAACTCGTACATCAGCCATTCTCATTGCAGGCATAGTACTTTGCAGCATAGCCAGCACAGACTGTTCATTCAGTCCAGACTGTTCATTCAGTCTGCACAGCCAGTCGGAGATTATGTGATTTGATGCCAGCCATATCTCCCTGTGTCATAGTGTGATTGATGTTATATATTTTTGGTGATTTTGTGGTGATGGGAAGCCAGTAAAAAGTCCAAAAATAAAATACAGTGTTTCAATATCTTTATGGTTTGTAGAAAATATACCAGTATTTAGGTCTTCCCGTTTCTCCTGTATTTTCGGTGTAGATATAGGGAGTAGGCCCTCACGTAGATCACGGCCTACATTGCATGGTAGCAGACGTGACGTTTTACGGAAGATCAGCGGGTGGAGTCCGTCCCTCCGGATTCTGCACGTCAACACAGACGTCCGTCATCCCCTGGTGCGCGAAAGACCGCTAAAACCGGTCACCAAGTTCAGCGAGGAGCAGCTCAAGGATCGTGACGAAGTAAGACCGTTAACGAGGCAAACCAACTTTTCATTTTCTTTCCATTCTAATCTAGCCATCAGTGCGACAGGGATCACCTGTGTACTGTCTGGTAAATTTAAATTTTCCATCCAGCCAGGTAAACCACATTTAATTCGTGTAAGCTAGCATACACAGCCACGTGCTTCAGCATTCTTCCCAAAACTCAGTTGTCAGTCCTCCCCTGATTTTTGTCGGATTTCATCAGCACAACCAGTAAAAATTCAGCCAGTTAAATTCAGCAATATTCAGCCATCAATTCAGTGTATTCCTGCCTGTGAAGTACACTAATTAACAGCCAGCCAAATCGACATTCGTGTGCAAAAACACGATTCTTGCAGCCAGTAAATTCAGTACATTTTCTGTTGTGAAATAAGCCAGTTTGTACCAGCCAAATCTCAGTGTGATTATTCGAAAGGTTACCATCTTTCGAATACTTGCACACGCACCGCATAACCAGCCAGACCGTGAACCCGGATACGCCGATCAGCGTTAAAGATTTTCATCGCTGATAACGAAGCCAGCAAGCCAGCTTTTGTTTTCGGCTCGCTCCAGAACAATAGCCACTGACAGTCAGTGCACTCAGAGATACAGCGCAGAGAGGAAATTTTCGAACTCTCGTTTGAAAACATCCTCTTACGCAATAGCCAGACAGCATCCAGGCAAGCAAAACCGTGAATTTTTGAACGCTGTGAATTTCGATTAACTGCGTTTAAATTCGCAGCCATTTCAGAATCACCGTTTAATTCCAGTTTTAATCACCCAGATATTAGGCAGTTTAATTCTGAATATTACTGTATTGTTCCTATCACAACAGTAAAAATGAATTTCTTCTTTCGCAAATCAGTAACACCAGGAAAGGCAGTTCGAACTCCAGATCCCAGTGATAACGAAGGTGTGTCTAGTGAGCCAGAAATACCGGCACAAGAACGCGTGTCAAGGTCAAAGGCACAAAAACTGAAGGCAAGTGGGCATAGCGTCCCATATCACACCCTCGAAAGTGTAAGCCAGCAACAAGTATTCGCCAGAAGCACTAAGATGGCTCGTTCTCCGGGACGTGCCGCCGATGGTGTGAATCAGCAGCCATTGAACGACTTCCAGGCAGATGATGCCGACTCCATTCTTGGAGATGAGTATCATCACCATGAAATCAGTGACATGTCTCAGTCCGAGGAAGAGCACGAAAAGTCAGAAGAAAACCCAGCAGTTCAGCATGAAACTAGCCACCTATCTCCCCCATCAACCGATCAGGCAGAATTTCACACCCCACCAGAGCCAGAAGACCCCGACCCACTGCAGGAGGTTCACCGACTGCGGAAGTTGTGGGCCAAGGCAAAAATCGTATCTTTTAAGGATAAAGGCCAGTTAAACTCCGCAGCAGCCAAAATCGAAGAATTAGCCAGACTTGTGAAACGCCAAGAGGAAGTCATCAATTTCCAGAAAATGCACATCGATAATAAAGCCAGCACTACTCAGACAAATGCCGATACTGAAAAGGCACTCCAGGAGTCTTACCTGGAAAGGCAGCAAATACAGGAACGGGCTGAGTACGCTCATCAGCAAGTACGGCAGGAGGCACAAAAACGCATTCAGGCAGAAGCACAAAAGGCACAAATCTTTCAGGAAGGACTGAATCATTACCGAGATCGGTATAATCACTACAAAGGCAGACGTGGGGAACTCGAGGCTTGCTTGATCGAGGAGCCTTCCTCTGGTCAGCCAGCCCCTCCCCCACCAACCTCCCGTACTCAGAGACAACGGCCACGTCAGGATGAGTCACCGGAAGTGATGGAGATCCCTCGGGATGCCGCCACTACCCGGCGCCCTCCTCGACGCCGTAAGCCAGAGCACCGTGATCATGTCCAGATTAAAGTCACAGAGCCAGATGATACCACAGGCATGTCCCAAACAGGTCCAAGTGTGGT